CGTACATAATGACCCCCCAATTTCGTACTGTACAACCTGAGCAATACATTAGATGATAATTTATCATCGCCTATCATACTGGAGCAGTACAAACTCTTGAATTATTTATACAAGATAATATAGTTCATATTTATTGTAACTATTGCTCATGAATTTATATTTTTGATGATAAAAAATATTATGGCTCATATCCTAATGTCTACTTATATTTGCAATATATTTTTATTTATATGTGTACTAATATTTTAGGAACATCATGCACCATCTGACAAAGATTTAAGACTCAATATTAGGTATAATAGGTTATATTGTAAAGATTTTTATAATATTCACTGATGTATTTTTTATTTGTTACGTCAAGTCCTGTAAAGGTGTATGCTAGCTTGGTAATCATGCACACACACACTCAGGGGAAGTGAGATTGAGTCAAAATTAGAAGTTTAATTTTTGTACTAATTATACTATATGATTTATATCATACTATACGATCCGCTCATTTAACTAATCATACTAGAGGATTTAGATCATCCAAAATGATCATTTATGATCTTGAAAAATAGCCGTCAATTATAATTTATGCAAAATTTTGATTTTTATATTTTATTCTAATCATCCTGGATGATGCACATCATGCTAAATGATCTATAAAAATTATGTCTAAATTGATCCTATAATTAGTCAATTGAATCTGCTTAATTTTGATATTATGATCGTATTATATGAACTGGGCCGTACTGGATGATTTTGGTCATCCTAGGTTTCATTTTGAATGAATTACATTTCGATTGAACTAATCATCCTTAACAATTTCAATATCATACTGGATGATCTGTTCATATACTTGAACTAATCGTATAGGTTAATGTTGATCATACTAGCTGAATGAGCTATTTTAAACTAATCATATAGGATGATCTCAGGATCATATTATACAATCTTCATCGACATAATTAAATTTTTAAGGATTTTAAAGCCCTCTATTTAAGCTTTCTCCAAAGATATTGTAAGTGACTTTGGTAACCATTGTATCTTCATTATTCTAGAGAAAATTTAAAGAGAAAACTTGAAAGGAATAGATGAAAGGTTAGAGTTTGTGAGGGAGAAGATCATTGGAGGGAGTTTCAAGGGAGTGTGAAGGGGATTTCATACGGTTGCTCTAACAAGCATGCACCTTAGTACCATCAGATTCAAGGTTCTTCTTGAGAAAAATTTTGAGAAGAAGATCTCTTTAGTGTCAAAGGATATGTCTACTCTGCCGCATCAAGGAAGGTGAAAGGGATTCATGGTTCTCTATTATCTCTCAGAGGGATAAAAATGAGTCAAGGTTCTCTGTATGTGAAAGGAGTTTTGGTCCTCTACGGCACCGATTTGATGGAAATATTTTGTAAGGGCTTCTCTGTCTTATTATGGGAGAAAATGGAGAGACTAATAGGTTTTAGTGCAATACCTGGAGGGTGCCTCTAGGGAGTGGACGTAAGTCAGGTTGGATCGAGCCACTATAAATCTAGTGTGTTCATTGATTCATTCCTTTTATTATTTATGCACTTTATTTTCTTCATTTATTTTTATGATAATTGCATGGGTGAAATCTCAAATTTATCTTTTTGTTATAATTCGTTTCTACATCAAGTTATAAGAAGATTTTTCTATTCAATAAAGAATTTTTTAAAATACCAATTCATCACCCCCCCTCTTAGATTTAGCCTTTGGGATTGCTCTCTTTAGGGTTTAACACCCCTCACAAATTTTTAATACTATCTAAAAGAGATGTTTTGTACTAATTATACATGATGATTGTAGAATCGTACTAGACAATCTTAAATGATAGTTTAAAACTTAGGGCTTTTTAAGAGGCTATCTATTTAAACTCTCACTTAGATATGTTCAAGAGCTTTTGGCTGCTAAGTGCCTTGAGAGGGAGCATAGAGAAGGAGTATGGGAGAGCTTTGGGAGAGAAGTGAGGGAGAGCTTTTTATGAGAGAGAGTTGTGAGGGATTCATAAGGTTACTCTAACAAAGTTCTTACATGTCTTCTTCTAGCTTCTACCTTAATTCTTTGGTGGCTTCGAGGAGACATTCTATAACATTAGACCATGGTTCTCCACTGTCATCTGAAGGGTGAAAAAGTATTCAAGATACTCCGCCTTTTACTGGAAGAAGAAAAAGCTTTGAGGTACGTTACCGTCACCTAGAGGGTATGAAAAGATTTCAGTTCTCCGCCGCACCAGGTTGGTGAAAGTGATTTTATAAGGGTTTATCTGCCTTGCTGTGGGGAGAAAAGGAGAGACACTTATTTAGTGCAATACCTATAACAGAGGTTTATAGGGAGTGGATGTAGGTAAGGTTGGACCAAAATATTATAAATTATGGTGTATTTGTTATTATTGTTTTTTTCACTTTATTTTTCTATGATTAACTATGTGGTTGAAAACTATGATTTTTTTTTTTGTTATTGTGAAATTAAGTCACTTCCGCATTAAGTAATAAAATTGCCTATTTGAGATATTGAAAAATTTATAAAAAGATTTTCTTTTTGTTAAAGAAAATTTTAAATGATCAATTCATCCATCCTCTTGATTAGCCTCGGGCTATTCTTTGAGGTTTAAGAACCTTCATGAATTTTCATGAATATCATACCCCCAGGATCCATTACTACCTTGAAGGAAATTCTATGTTTAAGGAGTTGCCTTGAAGGAAATTCAATTATTGGATCTTTTACTACCTAGATAGATAATAATCTAGATTTTTGATGGTTTTTAAGAAATTGACCATCAATATTCCATTTGTATAAGTCTTAGAAAAGACTCGTAGCTATGCCAAATTTATGAAGGACATCCTTAACAAAAAAAATGAAAAGGAAAAAAAGAAGTTGGGAGACTTTGAGATCGTTTTTCTCACTGAAGATTGTAGTGTAATTTTATAGAAGAAACTCCTTCAAAAGCTTAATGATTATGGTAGTTTTACTATTCCTTATGTTATAAGAAAATTATTTGGTGGGAGAGCACTATGTGATTTAGGAGTAAGCATTATTGTTATGCATTTTCCATCTTTAAAATACTTGACTTATGAGAAGTTCAACCCACCACTGTTACCCTTCAATTAGCATATAAGTCATTTATATACCCTAGGAGGGTGATAGAGGATGTGCTAGTGAAAGTTGATAAATTTATCTTCCTCATTAATTTCATTGTATTAGACATGGAAGAAGATGGGGAGATACTGATTATTTTTGGAAGACCTTTCTTAGCCACTGGAAGGGCAATGATAAATATTTAGAAGAGGGAGTTAACTATAAGAGTGTAGGATCAAGAGGTGACCTTCAATGTCCTTAAGTATATGTTGTTCCCCAAAGATCATAGTGAGGACTAGTGTTATGAAAGAAGATAGGGAGATACTAATTATTTGGGAAGACCTTTCTTAGCCATTGGAAGGTAAATGTTGAAGCAAGATCAAGAGGTGACCTTCAATGTCCTTAAGTCTATGCAATTCCCCAAAGATCACAGTGAGGATCAATGTTATAGAGTTGATTTGGTGGATTATAACTTTGAAGCATTCATTTCTTGAGGATAACATAAGAGAGATTGACAAAGATATTATTCATGTGCTAGGTGATACTCCTAGAATTTTTAAGGAGAGGTATGAGACATTGCACACATCATCTTTAAAAAATCATTAAGTCCATATATCTTAGAGGCCCCAGCTTTAGAATTGGAAGACTTATCAACACATTTGAAGTATGTATTTCTAGGAGATGGGATCAACCTTACTTGTTATTATATTTGCTTATTTAGAAGCGGATCAAGAGGGTAAGTTGATTAGGGTTCTTAGAACTTATAAGAAAGTATTTGATTAGACAATAGTTGATTATAAGTGGATTAGTCCATCATTATACATGCATAAAATTTGGAATGAAAGAAGACTCCCAACCAAATACGAACTCACAAAGAAGATTGAACCCTATCATGAAGGAGGTTATGAAAAAAAATATTCTCAAATGGCTTGATGCAGGTATTATTTACCCTATTTTCGACAATGCTTGGGTTAGTCCCATTCACTTTATACCTAAGAAAGGGGTTTGACAGTAGTGACCAATGAAAATAATGAATTAATTTATACTAAAATGGTCATAGGAAGGAGGATATGTATTGACTATAGGAAGCTAAATAAGATCACTAAGAAGGATCATTTTCCTTTGCTATTCATTAACCAAACACTTGATAGATTAGTAGGACACTCATTTTTATTATTCCTTAGATGACTACTTAGGTTATCAATATATTCTTACAGCATCTAAGGATCACAATAAAAGTACATTCAGTAGCCCATATAGTATATTTGTCTATTGTAGAATGCATTTTGGATTGTGTAATACCCCTACAATATTTTTAGAGGTGTATGATGTCTATCTTTTAAGATTTAACTGTGCGGGATATTGAGATTCTCATAAATGATTTTTTTAATATTTGATACTTCATTTAATTCTTACCTTAAGCACCTAATTGTGGCTTTAAAAAGATGTGAAGAATTAAATTTTGTGTTGAATTAGAAGTGTCAATTCATGGTATCAAAGGGCATTCATTGTCTAGGACCATAAAAGGTATGAGAAGGGTTTGGAGGTGGACAAGGAAAATATTTTTAGTAACAGAGAATTTTTCACCCCTAATATAGTCCTCAATTTGAGGGCAAATTATTGCATCCAGTCACCAGATGAGGAGATATGTTTGGATATTAATAAAATATTATTTTAAATTAAGTGCATCAAAAGCGTAGGTAAAGCACAAGAAAAATGCAGGTAAAGCGCACCTAAAGCACAGTCAAAAACGCATGTGATGTGGCATATTCTTATTGGATGTTCAAATATATTCTGCACGTCTGGTGACCTGATACAATAATTTGCCCAATTTGAAGGGAACAAATATCCTGTTAGAGAACGAGAAGATCAAGACCGCCCAATATCGATTCCTCGCTAAGAATTATTAAACAAAAAAAATTACCACGCCATATTTACACTTTTGCCCTCAAAATAGATTCCCTTTTTAACGCATGTCGACATCAACCGAGTAAGGGAAATAGGATAGTCCATCGTGTTCTTTCTTTTTTTCAGCTTTCTTACGTCGCCGGCGGCTTCAGAAAGCTTTAGGTAAGCGCTTCTCTTGCTTACTGCCTTGCAGTTTCTTCCTGGATTCAAGATCTCAGTGTTTTTGTTTTTGTTTGCGTGGTTAGTTTGTTTACCGATGGCTTCAAAGCGGATCTTGAAGGAGCTGAAGGATCTGCAGAAGGATCCTCCGACGTCCTGCAGCGCAGGTATGTTTGATTGGAAGTCCCTTTACACTCTATTCGTTTTTGTTTGATTTCCGGGGATTTTGTAGAGTTTCTTTGCTTGCCTGAGGTTAAGGTCTGGATCTCGGCGGTTATTGTTGGACCTGTGAATCCGTAGCCTACGATTGCGTATTTAGTTTCAATTTTCTTTTTGATTAGGAGATGGGTAGTCGCTGTTTGAACTTTTTTATGGGGTTTGTAGCGGTTTGTTGAGGCGAGGGAAATTATTTTTTCTTAGGCTTAATTACTTATTTTCATGTTAAGTGGGTGTGAGAAATGGAGCAATTTTTTTATTTCTTTTGGATATGTGGAGGCAGGCACATGCCGAGTTGGTTTGGAAATGGCTAGGGTTGGGTTATCTCATTTCTGTATCACTCAGATGGTTGTTTGCGATTGGTGGAAGTTGGTTTTGCATAGCAAACTAAATAAGATATTTAGACTGAGGTGACTGGGACTGCTTCACCAAATCTTCTTACTTTATATCGTTCTTAGGTACAGCGTAATTGAATGTCATAGGGTTTTGGATTATTATGTAATTTTACAGAAGATGTGGTGTATTTCAGTCGTTTATAAGAATTAGACTCATTAATAAAGCTGGATTGTCTTTAATTCCTGTAGATTTTGCTAGTTTATGTTTCTACCAAACTTGTACAGAGATATTTCAGATTTTGTTGCAATGGCTATTGGTAACTATGGTGGATGTACCATCTTAGCATGGGTCTTCCCATAATGTCTTTAGAGTGCTTGAAAGTGTGAAAAACCTGTTGCATTAGAGGTTTTTTCCTCTCAGTTTTGTTTCTCATTTTGATGATGAATAAAATGAATATAATGATCCTAGTCGACCTGTCAATGTTATTGTGCATGCCAAATATTAGCAGTTGGAGTGGTTTGAGAATGTTTCTTATCTCTAGTTTCCAATTGATCTATCAATCAATAAAAGACACCTTTAGCACTTTCCTGCTGCGGATGACTTCTTTTTGATTTGGCCTCCGCTCTTGTCGTTCCTAATTAACTGGCACACTTGGATTGATTTTTATCTTTGATTTGATGGTTAGACCTTTTGATTGATCTTTGACCATGTTCTTTTAAGGAAAAAAAGAGTTCTCAAATAACACTAAAGTTTTGGTATCTTAGAGTTTCTTTTTCTAATATTTTTTATTTTAGAAATTGGGTTACTTAGAGTTAATGTTCACTGAGAATGTCATTTGTAAGGAGAAATGTTACTTCTGTGATAATCATATCAAAGACGACCTTACTACCTGTGAACCATGTTTTTTTTTTTTTTTTCAATTAGTGGCCATTCGTCTTATATATAGATTATTTACTTTGCAATTCGTCTTATAGATTATTTAATTTGCAATGTACGTTGTTAGGATTGCTTGAAAATTGATACTTTGCGAGGCTAGATGAGAAAGGTTGAAGGATGATGTTATATTGATAGTCAATTGTAAATATAGTACATGGATCATAGTAAACCTTTTTTTTTTCTTTATCTCTGACCTTAGTTGCTTTATGAAACATTTTATTGTGCTCAAGAATAAGTCTTCTAATGGTTTGAATGTATGTTAGAAAATGATTTTCCATGTATTTTGTTGTACAGGTCCAGTGGCTGAAGACATGTTTCACTGGCAAGCAACAATAATGGGTCCTCCTGATAGCCCATATGCTGGAGGAGTTTTTCTAGTTACCATCCATTTCCCCCCAGATTATCCCTTTAAACCACCTAAGGTATGCTTTGGGGTACACATTCTTTTAGTTGCAATCTTTATCTGCATGCCTTATGGTAAATGCAATCATACGAAAGTATTCTTGAATCTTGATATATTTTTTTCCCTTAAGCATCCTATAGTCTACAATTTAAGCTTTCATAATGGTGCCACTAGATATCCTCATTCACCCATAGCACATCTATTAGTTGTGCGTGCTTTTTTGAATTAATATTCATTTTTATCTATCATTTTTGGATTATTGTTCTCTAGAATTTTTACATAATGTCCATTTTAACTATAATTAACTGATTGTTGAAACTTTTCTAACAAGGAAGGTCAATTGATGTTGATATGTTTTGACAATGGTTTTTTCTTTAATCAATTGGAAATATATCTGATATCCTTTGGATTGTGGGTGGCCGGAGTGTTGCATGCACATCTTTATGCTTCGAGAGAAATCTGAACTTAGTTTGTGATCTATGCTCCTTTTCACTAGATTATGCATGCAAATCCACTTTTTCCATGGCCTCTATCTCCATATTTGCTATTTTTTAGGAATTTTGTTGTTTACTTGTAACTGAAAGGGGTGGGACCTTGTGGACTTTCCATGCTTGTAGCGCAGTTTTGTTGAGTATGCTTTCCAACCTTGGGTTGGTTTGACCTGGACTAAGGATTGTGTTGAATTTTATCATCCATTTCCTGGAACCAATTATGCCTTAATCTCTTTCCATTGTGTGTGCTGGCTCAGCTCAATATGGAGTTGGTTTTTGATCTAGCACTCTAGAGACGAGCCATATTGAACACCTAAAACCCTAAAATAAGCTAATCAAAGATTTAGCTTCATCCGTCTTGTGATAGAGAAGATAGGGAAGCTATGCTTATGTCATGGATAAATAAATAGATGACTAATATCAATGATGATAAACAATCATCACCAAAGAATTCAGGTAACCTGCTCACCATACCAATGCCAAGGAACAAAATCACCAAAGTTTAATTCAACAGAAGTTAAGATTCTCAAATTTTATTTTGATTGCATCACTAATACAACTTTATTTTTATATAATATGACATATACAATCTAATAATGTTATATCATTATAATATATAGCATAATGTTAATATTCTATTAGAGGAGGCATTCCATCTAGCCTCATAATTGCCCTCCATTCTGTAAGATCTTCAAAAACTTCTATAAACTTGCACTACTTCACCTTGCCAGGGTGGCAAATGCCATTGGTAAAGCATTGAAGTTTGTGGAAAATTTGAATTGAGATGATTCTTGAAAAGAGGGAGATAATTATGTGTTCTTTAATGAGTAGTTTGAATAACTAGAGTAACTTTGATCAACCACGTTGGCTCCACATGTCAACATTTTTTTACACTAAGAAAATACAATTTATAATGCCATATCTCGCATGTTCATTGTTGTAAATTAAATTATTATAGCATATTTTTAACTATTTTTAACTAGCCATAAAGGATGAAAATATTAATTAAAACTTAAAAGCATTCTCAAAGTTGTTTAATTTGTAAGTCAATATTTAATATTTCTATGTTATGTTTTAATTAATTATTGACCACTTATTTGCATATTATTAAACATTTGATGATTTTGAGTCGGTTCAAAGTAATTTGAAATTGATTCAGGACAGTTCATCTTGTCTTGAGACTACTAAATTAGATTATATTGTATTGTACAAATTTGAGTTTAATATGTCTTAACTGGCCGTTAATGTCGAGTCAACCAACATATTTTGAATTACTTGGATTTGATTTGTTCAAAGTGATTTGAAATTGATTCAAGGCCGTTCATTCTTAAGACTACATAAATTAGATTATATTGTATTGTGTGAATTTGAGTTTAAGATGTCTTAACTAGCCATTAATGTCGAGCCAACCAACATATTTTGAGTTCATGTTGAGAATGAATTACTTGAATTTGATATGTTGCCACTTTTTTATTCAAGATAAAATACAAATTGTTATGAGATATGAACACATATGTAGGTGAATACTTTCTTGTTGGATTGTTTAAAAGTTACATGAATTTTGGTTGAATGGTTAAGATTTTCATTTAAGGTTAGGAAAGTTGAGATATTAGATTCGACTTATATTAAGAAAATTAGAGGTAGACCTAAAAAGACTTGGTTAGAAAAATATTAGAAATGATCTTTCTTTATTAGATTTAAATGATAATTTGACTTTTAACCGAACACAATGACCAAAAAGGATTCATGTAGCTGACCCCACATAGTGGGACAAAGGCTTGATGTTGTTGTTGTTGATGTTGTTGTGGTTAACATTTTCATTTAAAATAGGAAAACAACATTCAATGTTGCCACCATATAAATGCAAAGCCCAATTGTTCCTCCTTTGACCTTCTCTTTGTAGTATGCTTTTACTTCTACCAATATTTTTTTAGGCAATGACAAAGTCACCCATTTTAATGTCTAACCATTATTTCATCAAACTCTCGAATGCATGTTTTTGAAAATTCTTGCACACTTAAATTGCCCACTTGAAAGTCCCCAAACATAGACGTGACTGCAAGTTAATAAAATAAAGGTCAAATTTTAATAGTAGGCCTAGTTATTTTTTATTAAAATTGCCAAATTAAAAATAAAATTTAGAAATCGTCAAAGTTGGCATTTAGACGGGCGACTGGCTCCCAACATCGTCGCTTGCCATGACTATTAGCATTTTTTTTTTAAATTAATTATGGCCAGTTGCCCCCACATAGTGGGAATTTAAATGAGAATTTAACTTTTAATAGGGCACAATGTAGAAAAAAGATTCATGTAGCCGACCCCACATAGTGGGATAAAGTCTTGATGTTGATGTTGATGGCTAGTTGCCCGTCTAACAGGCTACTGACTATACTTTAATTTTTTTAAAATAAGTGTCCTGATAGTTGCTTGCATTTTTTTAAAACAAGCGATTGGCTTGATTTTATTTTTTAGAAAATGTTTCAGAAATTTCTATTTTTGTGCATTAAGAATAAAAAATTAGAAGAGTAATAATTGTTTTTTTGGTATTAATATTAGGTTAATAGTTCGAGAAGTTCAATTTTATGAATTTTATGAATATTATATTCATTAATTATAATCATTATGTTATTATTAATTTATGTAATTTATTATGTTATTATTTTTAGTAATTATTGTTATGTTTGGCAATGCTTTTATTACCTAATTTTGTATTTTTTTAGTAGTGTTTTTTTTTAATTTTAATTTGGAGTATGAATATGATTTTGATGATTCTTCTTCTTATTTTGTCATTAATATTTAGTAAGGCTCCTATGATTATGTTAATGAGTACTATTGTTACGATATTTTGGATTATTATTACAGATTTTATGATTATTATTTAGGCATTTAATTTTCTTTTGCGTATTGGATTCTTGACATACGTTGTTAAAGTTGTTACAGAAGCATTGTTTAAAATTGCGTATTCGGGTATTGAGGCGTTTTTCATTCGTGAGGCGAGGCGTAAGCCTCAAGGCGTTTTGAGGCGTAAGCCTAAAAAATCAAAAGATTGCGTAAACATAAAATGATAAATTTTTTTATATACTAATGAGTGAATAATATAAAACATAAAAAAACATAAGATATTAAGTGAAATCAAAATATCCCAATAATAAGACAACATGAAATATAGTTCAACTCAAAATTTTATCTTTCCCAAATCCCAATATTCTTTTAATTAACATATAATTCAAATTTCCAAAAATAAATAGCAATGACATATTACATAAGAACTCATAAGTCATCAACACTGTCATCACTAAGGGGTTCTTCATTTGAATCATCATTATGATGAACTGCTCTCTCCCCTTCCTCTTCTCCTATAGAGTCCAATGTCGGGCATTTACTTCAAGATTTATGTAAGTTTTAATATATATAGCGTGAGGCGTAAGCCTCATGCCAGTGAGGCGAGGCGGGCCTCAACCAAGTTGAGGCGCAAGCCTCATAAAAAAAACTTGAGGCATAAGCATCGAGGTGTTTTTTACTGGAATTGCGCAAAGGTGGGCCTCAAGGCGAGCCTTATATTGCGCAATTTTAAACCATGTACAGAAGTGCATCATTTGTGTGGTGTTAAATCATATCAACATGTATGCCCATTGGATTTTGTTTGTTCCTATACAGAATCAGTGATGGGAGGCCATGTCGGGGAAAGCAACATTGATTACTTATATTAGTGTCAGAAAGCTCTATGAAGGTCTTTATCAGATATTATTGTTGAAAAATTTTGAACGCGAAGTTGAAGTTCAACTATTTAAGTGGGTGTTGTATCATTTGTTGATGAACATTGAGTGTAGTTTCCCTTAGCAATTATTTTGCATTTTTTCATCTCCATCTATTCTTCGTAATGCATTGGCCGGATAATGAGAAGCCTCGCGGTATACCGATGAAGGAGTTAATGGACATCACTAATAGATGAATTCATAAGTGTATGACAAGGCGTTTTAGTAGTTCGCTTGAACAATAGGCTTGGGCTAATGAGATATTCATATGATGCGTGCATGTATGGACTGAAGATAGGGATCATGTACTTTGGTATTTGCATGCAAAGGCTATGAAGATAGAGGCTAATAGGACTGAAAATTTTCTAAATGCCGAAGGATGGGAATATGTGTAGCAAAAGTTTTTTGTGTGAGATAATCACCTTGTTGGTGCTCACTTTCTTCAAATATGTTTTCATAAGGTACGTCGTTAAAGGGTGGGTGGGACATCGAACGTTGTTGAAAGGCCACCTTGTGATCTTGAATATTCTCCCACAATGCAATGAAAACCTAGTGGTATTGCATCCAATATGTATCCGCCTTTCCTCGACCATCCACGTGAACAAAGCTGGGGACCATAGAAGGTGCATCAAGCATTGAAGCGTACCCAAATTGGCGGATAAATCTATCAGGTAAGTGCCACTCTACCCTCTTCCGACTGATCAAGGGCACCCAAGCTAACCATATATTCTCACCTGCCAGACATATGTCGGCCACATGTGAACGTATCTTAG